GACCTGACCTGAGGTCAACGCAGGGCGATATCCACTTTTTTTTATTTTCGCATATGAATGAAAATTGATAAGGCTTTAATCGTCATCAGACAAAATTGCAACTTTCAGTGGGGAAAATATCAAGGTCACTTCGAAAAATAGGTCAAAAGGTCACGTGATCAAAATTTTCAAAAATTGAAAATCCGAGATAGCCAAAATGTTTGTTGGTTGATTGTGAGTTGAACCATATGAAGTTTTTATCGTAGAAAACCAATAGTTTCTGAGTTATAGGCCGCCAAACATGGGGCTGCAGCGCGACATCCAGGAATTGCCCGAGGCTATATCTCGGAAACCGAGTTGTTCGAAGAAAAAAAATCCTTGCCACAGCTGGCTTCCCCGCCCATCACAACCCATTAGACTAATTTTAAGCAAAAAATAAAATATGAGGGTGCAGGGCACTTGTCGATTTGTCGTGGAACGCCCCGTATGCCAAAATTTGAAGCTAATTTGACAAAAACTGGAGAAATTATCGCCGAAAAACAGGGTCTCATGGGGTCTGAAATGCATAGTAGGTTACCGTGTCCAATATGTAATTGCCGCTGCTGAAAAGCGAGTGTGGAGCCACAAGCCTTATTGCTGGAGCGGCACGTGCGTGCGTTCTTTATGTTCCATACTTTTCGCGGTAAAATCGATGCACCCGGTCTCCCCACCGGCATCCAAAGGGTCAGAGCTGAGAGCGGAACTGAGAAAGGTCGGCCAACGACCGCAACACGTGACATCCGAAACACGTGCGCTGAGAAGTGACCGCGTCAAGAGGGTAGGGGAAGTTGGGGGAACGCCGAATACTTTTTTTCTGACGCCCGTAGCACGCAAGGTAGACAACATAAGCTATTCTTGTTGGCGTCATTCGAGAGGCCAGTCTTTTGCCTTTCAAACATACCAGGCGCATTTGATGAATTCGCATACCGTTAAGCGCACAAACTAAAAATATCAAAGAAGTGACTTTTTCGGCGTTGCCCCGGACTGCGGGGAAAGCCGAAAATGGGAGAAATGATCTACGGGAATGCCGAAATTGGTTTTTTGCTATTTTATCTCAAATTTTATCCAGAATTCGTCAAAGCTGACACGCGTTTTAAGAGCTTGAGGACGCTTGGTGCACACTGGAAGTTATAATTGTGTGATATAATAAGAAAAGGCCAGGTAAATCATTCCTTATGGTAACAGGCCGTGTGTCGGTTAAAAGTGTAATTTGTGTGACTAAAAATACGCGTTGCTATTCTACAGCGGTAAATTTCACGTAGCGTGCTTTAACGCGCGTAATTGCACGTTTTCGGCATTACCCCAGCCAGCCATACTTCCATTTGCAGGCCCATAACTTTTCAACGTGCTGTATAAATTTCAAATAGGCAGCACACTTTGCAAAGACGTGCTGAAGATTACTTGACCGAATTGGCCAGACAAACGGTAGCATAATGAGTAGGAAATGCAGCTTCGAAGACGCATGTAGTACAAAGGAAACGTACCTTGAAAACGCTCTTGGCGCCCTCACAGCCGAAGTATTCCGAATGACGACTGGTAACAAACATGCGATAATTGGTAGTCACTTAAGCTTCAGAGCATCACTGACAGGTGGCATCCATGTCGTACGGTTTTCGAAATATCTCGAATTTCGGCTTTGCCCCAACTCCGGCATTGCCCCAACTTCCCCTATCGAATACTCATTATGGGCCATTCGCTGGAGAGCGGGGCGAATTAAAGTCCCAACTTAGCGCAAGTACGCCGTCGCAACTCTGCACACTGTCTTTCACGCGGTATGCCGCTGCGAAATGATCCATCCCTCATGCCAGCAGTCTGTTTCACTCGACACACAGAATATGGATACATGAAAAGCCTTTGTTAGTCGCACGATTACTACGCCACTGTGAGCCTCCCCACAGCCTCAGGTGAGTCAGGAGCCTCAAGTGAGTCAGGTCAGGAGTCTCAGGTGAGTCAGGACTAGGAGTCTCAGGTGAGTCAGGAGCCTCAGGTGAGTCAGGAGTCTCAGGTGAGTCAGGAGTCCCAGGTGAGTCAGGAGCCTCAGGTGAGTCAGGACTAGGAGTCTCAGGTGAGTCAGGAGTCTCAGGTGAGTCAGGACTAGGAGTCTCAGGTGAGCCAGGAGTCTCAGGTGAGTCAGGAGCCTCAGGTGAGTCGCGAGCCTCAGGTGAGTTACGAACACTGACCACTCGTCCCCCGCGTCGGACGGTGAGTGTCCGCGTCGGACCCGGAGACACGTAATCAGCCCTGTGATGTGAACTGTGTCAGCCCAGTCCCCCGCGTCGGACAGTGAGTGTAATGGGTGACCCGGAGACCGGCCTGTGTCAGCCGGTCCCCTGTGGCGGTCACAGCCCGTGTCCAGGTCTGACTCAGAGTCCGGCCCGGGTCAGCAGACTGAGTCAGCCCAGTCCCCTGTGGCAGTGACCTATGTGACTCAGCAGCAATAGCAGCGGTGACCCCGCCGACCACGACCGTCGGCAGCGCCACGTCTCTCCACTCCGCGCAGGGAGGAGCGCTCCGGTCGATACCGCGTGTTGTGGCGGGCGCTAGCTCGTCACGTCACGCTGCACGTATACGGCGTCACGCTGCGGCACGGCGGCACGGTGCGGTACGGCGTCACGGTCGTCACCCGGCACCCTGTCACGCGGGGCGTACTATCCGCGTCACCAGCGGCCGACTGTTCAGAGGGGACCATCGGCCCAGCGGCCAGAACCGGAGCTATCCGGGAGGCCGAGCGGCCACGGCATATCGCCTCACCTCAACTGGCCAGCCATACGCCAAAAACAAGCGGGCACTGTTTGTTCAGCTGTCCGCCGCTGGAGCCGTACACTGGCCGGCGGGGCGCCCGACTCAGGCACTGCTGCTTTTGCACGGGCATATAATGGGGGTTATTACCGTGGTGTGACACACGGCTGGCCCGCGCCAAACGCCACACAAACAGCGTGCACCAGCGCGGTGGAAGGTGCGTCAGTCCTACACAGGACGCCCATGACACGGTCCTCTCCCAGGACGAGCCCGCCCCCTGCACACTGCAGACACAGAGGAGGGACCTCTGCCCGCGCCGCCCGCTCAGCGACCTGCCACGGTAACCGCCGCCGGCCGAGAACGGTGGATGTGGATGCTTAGCCAGAGACGCCGCGATTGGACAGAGACAGGGGATTCCCAGTATCACTAGTCGTTCCATATGGTCCCGGTCAGTTTCAGGGGTCAGTCAGAGAGCCGTTACAGGGCTGAGCGGAGCAGCCGAGCAGGTCGACACACCGCTCATCAGTCATCACACCGGCCGTCCGACCGTGGCCGATCACAGCCGGCCGGCCGTCCAGCTGACCGACCGACCGACACCGGCCGACCTACCGTCCGGCTGATCGACCACAGATCACACCGGCCGACCTATCGTCCGGCCGAGCGGCCAACCACAGCCCGTTACCGCCCGGCAGACAGCCCAACTTGGACAGAGAGCTCGGCTGAATTAACAAACTCCGCGGTGACAGCGGTAAAACTACACCGCTGCACGGGGAACTCGAACCATTCGGGTCCCGATTCCCAGATCCAGCTGGAGAACAGAGCCCAGAATAAACATGGCGTAACGCTGGCCTCATCTCTGAGACATCGCTACCTCGTCATGATGAAGTTCTGAACTGAAATGCTCGTCCCGCGGCTCAGTTGGTGGAGCGTTGGGCAGCCGGTAACTACTGAGAGCCCGGGTTCGAGTCACTCCAGCGCTCGATATAAGACTTCCGACGGATATTGTCTGCGGTTGGTGGGAGCGGCCGCAGACAGATGAACTCAGCGAGTCCCACGTCTGTCTGGACCCAGCTTCCATGTCGGGCTTCGTGGGCACGATAAACTTGGGCCTCTAAATTATTTATACAGCTTGAGCTTCACTTATTTATAAGACGATGGAGCTTTGGGAAATGGCAGCAGCTTCAAAAAGTGCTCGCCTGATTTTTGGTCCTGTGATGGCCACCAAATCCATGCAAGAGCGCTGGCCGCTGCACTGGTCGCTTGTGCCCCGCCCCCTCCCAGCTGGTCGCGTGCACCCTGTACCCTGCACCCCGCCCCTCCCAGGTGATCGCGTGCACCCCGTACCCTCGCAGCCCTGAGTCATCGCTGGGCGGACAGCTCCCTATCACTGCCGGGGAACCACGGCCAAAGATAACAGCCGACCGGCGCGGCCACCCGACAACCCCAGCCTTCCTGGAACGACGGCGACACGCCCACCCTGAGGCAGCCCCCCCCCCCCACCACCACCACCGGTACACTACCAAAGCGGAGGTGCTAAACTTACACACCTCAACTCGGTGCCAGGCCGGGCCTTAATCAGACGCGGCACTCCCATCCCAGCGCGGCCCACTGTCCCATCCTACCGCGGCCCACTGTCCCATCCTAACACTGCGGGCTTCCCATCCCACCGCGGCCCACTGTCCCACTGACGGCCGCGCAGGAGCCCTCTGCCCTGCGCCCGCCCGGGGTCACGGCAGGCGCATTCACCGTGGCAGCGAGCGGCCGTCGAGCGGTCCACCCCGCGCCACCCCGGGGTCCGATACGGGCCGGTACAGACACCGGCCGGGCCCACATTGTCCAATAACCGCGCGCCAGGCAGTTCCATCTGCTGAGTGTGCTGTGGGGCCGGGCGGGCTTCACTGCCGCCCACTGGGCGACCTTATTTCGGAGGGTGGCTGCTCGGGAGTCGACCACAATCGAGTCACCAGTGGTACCGGCAGCCGTCTCCGCCAGCGCAGTAGCAAGTGTCGGCTGACGAGCCCGCTCGAGCCAAATCATAAAATACGGCCCGTGCACAAACAATAACTCCGTTCTTCATTGGTGGATACGTGAAGTAAATACAATATATCATGCACACCCTCATTGGTTGAAAGGCAAAGCGGCCTAGACACAAGACACAGCTCACTTGTGTTCCCTGAGTTCTGTCCCGAGTAGGGCAGCGGCTGCGCACACGCCGCGGTCGGCCCCGCCCCACCGACACTGACCTTGTACCTGTCGATGTTGCAGCCGTAGTCGCCGATCTTGAGCGTGCAGTTGCTCATGACGCGACAGCTGCGCGCCGCCAGATCACTGCGAACAGGTCAGGGCAGGTCAGCTCAGATTAGGTCAGCCTCAACTCAATCGCCAAAAAAGTATATGTGCAGTGAATATAATATAACGTCACCAGAACGGCACAATATTTGGAACTGCAGACGAGATGGACTTATTCAGAGCAGCAACTCATTGACGTAGGACTACCTCCTCTGGACGTAGACCGCAGAATGGACAGACGCATTCAGAATGGACAGACATACGTATTCTCTCACCTGTGTCTGTAGTGTCTGTGAGTGTAGTGTCGGGATGTAGTGTCTGGGTGTAGTGCATGTGAGTGTAGTGTCTGAGTGTAGGGTTTGGGTGGTCTACATCATCCCCACCTGATCATGCGTGTAGCCTGTGAGTGTAGTCAGTAGTTCACCCCTCACCTGTGCGTGTAGTGTATGTGAGTGTAGTTTACCCCCCACCTGTGTGTGTAGTGGATGTGAGCGTAGTGTACCCTCACCTGTGTTTGTAGTGTAGTCGTGCAGTGCAGGTGCTGCAGGCCCCGCGGTAGGTACTGGTAGTGTATGGTAGTGACCTGTGTGTGTAGTGTCTGTGCGTGTAGTGTCTCTGGGTATAGTTCACCCCTCACCTGTGCGTGTAGTGTCTGTCGTGCAGGTGCTGCAGGCCCCGCGGTAAGTACTGGCAGTGTATGGTAGTCACCTGTGTATAGTGTCTGTGTGTGTAGTGCACCCCCCACCTGTGCGTGTAGTGGATGCCGTGCAGGTGCTGCAGGCCCCGCGGTGAGTGCAGTGTACCCTAACACCCTCACCTGTGCGTGTAGTGGATGTCGTGCAGGTGCTGCAGGCCGGCCGCCGCGTCCATGGCCATCTTATTCAGCGCCATCGTGTTCAGCAGCTGCTGTCGCTCGGCCGGCGAGCGGCGCTGCAGAAACTCCTTGGCGTCCCCCTGCCGACCGACGGGGTTAGGTCAGGGGTCAACCGGGTGAGGTCACAGGTCAACCGGGTGAGGTCACAGGTCGACGGGGTGAGGTCACAGGTCGACCGGGTGAGGTCACCCGTCAACCGGCTGAGGTCATAGGTCGGCTGATGGCAGAGCTGAACACGACTAGGCCGAGGTGAGTTCGTTGGACAGCACCAGGCGGCAGCGGACAAAGCCACGGCGAGGGAGGGAGAAAAGGACGGCCCACCACCAGCAGCTGAGCCCGCTGAGGGGCTGTATGCCTCTGGGTGAACTGTGAAATGGCACAGTGTCGATGCAAATTTTGAAATTGTCACGGTGAAACAGTGACAGACGCGGAATCGGTGGTCCCTGAGACATTGATCCATGGTATTAAAGACAATCTTTCAGGAAACCTGGATGACTATAACAAGGGATTACTCTGACATCTATGCCCACTAATAGCCTACATTTATCATCTATCATATCATGTAGATGCCTAAAGGTTATCCCATCAGAAGCCGCTACCGACAGAGGTTATTGATAGATATTTTCTGGCATGTAGTTATTTCAGGACAGCTTTCAATGTGTCTAGCAGCGTACACTGGTGGGTAATTCTTCTAATGATTAATGAAAATATGGAAGTTCGCGGACGAGACGGGCACCCAGGAGCTGATCCGGGTGACCGGAGAGGTCCCGGGTTCGACTCCCGGTCGGTGCCGGTTTTTATTCACCACCCAGAGAGGTCCCGGGTTCGACTCCCGGCCGGCGCCGGCTTTACTTACCGCGCCGCAGCGCTCCAGGATGAGGAGGTACGGGTCGGCCTCCAGACAGCGGCCCAGCAGACGCAGCACGTTAGGGTGGTTGGCGTCCCGCAGGTAGGCCATCTGCCCGACAGTGGGGAATTAGAGGTCAGTGATCACATGTCCGACAGTGGGGCGTCAGATCACACCTGTCATACTGTATATCCGGCATATGTCATATGTCATACTGTATATCCGGCAGTAGGGGATCATGTCACAGCTGTCATATATCCGACAGTGGGCCGTCAGGTCACATCAGCTGTCACATATCAGACAGTGGGGTGTCGACAGCCGTCTACATATATATATATATGTAGATAGCTTAGATACTTGGGCGTCAGATCACAGCCGTCATATCGACATGTCGGACATTCGGGGCGCCAGATTACATCAGCCGTCATATCGATATGTCGGACATCGGGTCACATCGGCTGACAGCTCTGTCATATGTCGGACATTAGGGAGGCGGCGACATTAGCGGATGACATTCGGCGGCGCCGGCCCATATCGGAACGCGCCATGCATGCTATCTTATTCCGGTACCAGAGAGCTATTACGACGGCAGCCCGGTAACAGGTCAGCCATAGCGGTCACCAGCAGCGCAGATGACAGTAACGCTGAAAAACACGGCCGCAGCGCCGAGACAAATATTAAACTTATCGCCAAACGAATTGCCAATGCCATGCTATAACAAAACCAATTCAATCGTTTGGCACCACTCTGCGGCCTGTGATCTGTGGACGACGTTTCGGTGGGCGGCCACGAGCGCTGACGTGCGTTTCAGTGACGGACTCTAGGGCGTCACCACCGCAGACGTCATCGGCGTCCCCATACCTATAACTATTTCTACTGACCGGGCAAACAGATCGCACGGACCCAGGACTGGCGTACTGGCGTCCCGAGATAGTTCTACTGACCGGGCAAACAGACCGCACGGACCCAGGACTGGCGTACTGGCGTCCCGAGATAGTTCTACTGACCGGGCAAACAGACCGCACGAACCCAGGACTGGCGTACTGGCGTCCCGAGATAGTTCTACTGACCGGGCAAACAGACCGCACGGACCCAGGACTGGCGTACTCTGTCCGGCAGGCCGCACCAAACATCTTTGTAGGTACGCCAAACATCATCGGGCCCACATTTGGTACCATACAATATCCGACCCAAACGAAAAAAAACCGTCAGCTAGTGACGTCACCCAGCAGCGGCTGTGACCCACTGGTGACGTCACTCCCGGGCGGGTGTGACCGACTGGTGACGTCACTCCCGGGCGGGTGTGACCGACTGGTGACGTCACTCCCGGGCGGGTGTGACCGACTGGTGACGTCACTCCCGGGCGGCTGTGACCGACTGGTGACGTCACTCCCGGGCGGGTGTGACCGACTGGTGACGTCACTCACCTCGTGTAGAAAGTACATCTGTTCAGGCAGCGTGGCGCCGGCCCGGAGCGCCTTCACCACCACAGCCGTGCGCGGCTCGGCCGTCAGGTTACGGGCCTCCCCCAGCAGCGCCTGCGGGTCAGGTTAGGTCAGGTCAGTGCGCGGCTCGGCCGTCAGGTTACGGGCCTCCCCTAGCAGCGCCTGAGGGTCAGGTCAGGTCAGGTGAGACAGGGCGAGAGCGGGCAGCCGTCAGGTCATCGGCCGAGGGACGGTCAGGTCAGTCAGCACAAAAGGCTGTGTGCCACTGTGCAGAGCAGCATCCAATCAACATAGGACGGGTATTCAGTAACAGACTCGGTAACACAGGCACTGTGGGAAGGCGCATTTACCACTGTTTCCAGCATACCTACGTGAATAAAAATGTGACTGGTTTATACCCGAATGTCTGGTGTATCTGTGCCGGCTGCTACAGCATATGACTGGTTGCAGTACTCCGACAGTATCTATTTATATTCAATTCTGCCTGACAAAGACGGCTGGGGGGATCCGTGCTATCGTAAGTTATATCGGACGTGGCTGCGAAACTTCTCTCGGTACGAAACTTCTCTTGATCGGAAGAAAATCGGAGGGATGAAAAAGAAAGAGCGGCAAATCGGAGCTACGTTGTACGTAAGTTGTTTCGCAGCGTTTAAATGCCAGTTTTACTACGATTTAAATGCCAAGCAGATCAGCTGACCTCGTAGTACCATGTCGATAAGGTCGAATTCCCCATACGTCTATAGTGTAAAAGTGACCCTTATTGCAAATAGGCTGTCAGGGACATCTCCTCCTCTGTAAATTTGGAGGGATCATGTGTCGGCATTCCCATGTTCGTTTCTGAGTCCATCTGTTCCATTTGGAGCCCGTCAGTTGGCGTCAAGAGTTGGCGCAGCGAGCGCCCCGAAGACTGCGTCTGCGCACGAGGCTTCGCGATGGAGGAGTATTTTGACGAAATCGCCCTCGCTGCAGAAGAAATAGAGGGACTTGTTGAGAAAGAGGAGGCCGCAGTGTGCCGACGACTTTAAACTGTACGCCAACGCCAAGACCAAGGCAATCAGGGGGCGCTCAGATGATCGGGAGATTTCATTGATCAGGGACCCACCAGGTGACCAGGGAACCCTCTGATAACCAGGGGTCCTTCCAGTAACCAGGGACTCCTTCAATAACCAGGGGCCCCTCAGTAAACGTGGGCCACTCAGGTTACTGCAAGAGACAGGAGTCCCTTATAACCAGGGACCGGCAAGGTCTCTCAGGTCCGTTTTTGACAAAGCTGTTATTGACGTCATATGCGAGCCCTTTGCCACCAGCAGAGGGCCCTTTCAAGCCTTTTTAGGGCCGTTTAACGTCTCTTGAGTTTCCTTTGAGGCTAAGGGCCTCTTCAGCAGCCGAGGGGTCTTTGAGGCCTTTTTGAGGGCCTCTTAACGTCAGCTGAGGACCGTTGGACGCCATCTGAGGACCGTTTGGTGCCTTCTGATGGCCAGTAGATGCCAACTGAGGGCTCTCTGACACCAGCTGAGGGCACGCTGACACCAACTGGGGGCCTCCTGACACCAGCTAAGGGCGCTTTTATATTTGACACGAGCTCAGGGCCCTTTGACGCCCTCTGAGACCTTCTGAGGTCCGTTTGACGCCAGCAGAGGACCCTTTGGGGTCATATGAGGGCCCTTTGCTGCCTTCTAAGCGGCCTTTGAGGCTTTTTGAGGGCCGCTTGACGCCACCTGAGGACCGTTGCGGTTGGACTCCAGTTACGGACCGTTTGCGGCCTTCTGATGGCCATTTTACGCCAACTGAGGGCCCTCTGACACTAGGTGGGGGCCCTCTGACACCAGATAAGGGCCCTTTAAGGCCTTCTGAAGTCCGGTTAACGCTAGCGGAGGGCCTTTTGAGGCCAAATGAGGGCCCTTTGAGACCTTATAAGGGCTCCTTGAGACTTTTGAGGGCCGCGTGACGGCATCTGAGGACCGTTGTACTCCAGCTGACGACCGTTTGAGGCCTTCAGATGGACTTTTGGCGCCAGCTGAGGAGGGCTCACTGACACCAGCTGGGGGCCCTCTGACACAAGCTAAGGACTCTTTAAGGCCTTCGGAGGGTCGTTTGACGCGAGCTCAGGGCCCTCTGACGCAGGTTTAGGGCCCTTTGACGCCCTTTAAGGTCTTCTGAGGTAGGTTTAACGTTGGCTGAGAGCCCTTTGAACCCATCTGAGGGCCCTTTGAGGCCATCTTGTGGCCCTTCATTTGGCCATCTGAGGGCCATTTGACGCTAACCGAGGGCCCTTCGAGACCATCTGAGGACCCGGTGACCCCATCTATGGGCCCTTTGAGGTCTTTTGAGGGCCATTGAAATTTCACCACAATACCCCTGGCTGCGCTACTGGGCATTTATGGACTCGTATGGGCCTGCTGGGGAACGAGATGGGCCCTCCCGGTCTTTTCAATCATTATTTCAGTTCATTTTACATTGTTTTCGGCGGTCTAAAGATTAGGGGCCCCAACTCGAATGGGGGGAGGCCCGTGTGCCCTCTCCTGTGTGCGGCCTTGCCGACACTACACCGCTTCCCCTCCCTCCGCCATAAACGCACCGCTGCACTGTTAGGCGCCCACAAATACGGACCGGCGCCGCAACCGGCTCCCCCGCGGCCTGCCTCGCGTTGACATAGCCCTTCCCGAACACCAGTGTAACCCCCACGCGGCCTAGGTATCGCCGCGCCCACCTGTCCGCGGCGCGGCCTCTGATGGCGTATCGGATCATTGATGGTGCGATACATGTTTTGGTCAGATTTTCGCAATTAACGCGAAAAATTGCCCAAAACACTTTTTAAATTTCAAAATTGAAAAAAGTGATTACAAAAATGACGTGAAAGTGACCGTTTTCAACGTGTAAATTTAAAACGCTCTAGCGCAGCCATTTTTGAAGAAATCGACTTCAAATTTTGCACACGTGTTCATCAACCATATTTGTTTAACATATATTTCGGTTTTGTGAAAATTTTGAAAATTTCTTATATTTTTCTCTTGAGAAAGAGGTAAAGCTTCACTACGATCGGCCTTCCGATCGACCGAGAAGATTCGTAAAGTTAGATCGTATCTTCACCATTTGCGATACAACTTGCGTATCTACTTAGCCTACGATGTGATGGATCCCTCCAATATCTGTTCCGATTCAACTTACGTTTGATCGCAACTGCGAGGTGCCTTGCGATCACATGGATCCCCCCAGCCGAAAATGATAATTCCAGCACAGCTGCTGAGGACACGTCTAAGGGCAAATTCGACAAAGCTACTACGTGGGCCCTACCTGTCCGAACCAGCCGGTACCCAGCTCCTGCTGGTACATTACCTGTCCGAACCATCCGGTGCCCAGCTCCTGCTGGTACATTACCTGTCCGAACCATCCGGTGCCCAGCTCCTGCTGGTACATTACCTGTCCGGACTATCAGTGCCCAGCTCCTGCTGGTACATTACCTGTCCGAACCATCCGGTACCCAGCTCCTGCTGGTACAATACCTGTCCGAACCATCCGGTGCCCAGCTCCTGCTGGTACATTACCTGTCCGAACCATCCGGTACCCAGCTCCTGCTGGTACATTACCTGTCCGAACCATCCGGTACCCAGCTCCTGCTGGTACATTACCTGTCCGAACCATCCGGTGCCCAGCTCCTGCTGGTACATTACCTGTCCCAGCCGGTACCCAGCTCCTGCTGGTACATTACCTGTCCGAACCATCCGGTACCCAGCTCCTGCTGGTACATTACCTGTCCGAACCATCCGGTGCCCAGCTCCTGCTGGTACATTACCTGTCCCAGCCGGTACCCAGCTCCTGCTGGTACATTACCTGTCCGAACCATCCGGTGCCCAGCTCCTGCTGGTACTTTACGTGTCCGAACCATCCGGTGCCCAGCTCCTGCTGGTACATTACCTGTCCGGACTATCAGTGCCCAGCTCCTGCTGGTACATTACCTGTCCGAACCATCCGGTGCCCAGCTCCTGCTGGTACATTACCTGTCCGGACCAGCCGGTGCCCAGCTCCTGCTGGTACTTTACCTGTCCGAACCAGCCGGTGCCCAGCTCCTGCTGGTACTTGAGCTGCTGTCTGGGGAAGTTCCGATGGGGATCGTCTGCAAAAGAAGACCGCACACTGTCAGTCACGGCACGTCGTCACTGAACTAAACAGGCCAGCCGAAATAGCCCAGCCTGTTTACTGCCCGCCCCGGCACCACGATCTACAGGGTGCGCCATAAAGATTTACCCATCACAAACTTGTTCGCCAAAACTTTATTTTTAGACATAGAGGTCCGAAAATTGCGCATGCGCGAGGCAAACACGTGACTTTTATGTAAAACAAATTATTTTTTAGGTGAATGACACAGTTTATGCACCATGACCCGGACAAGCAGACGTGACAAAATCGTTGCACTAAAAAATGCCGGCTTCACTGACCGGGCCGTTGCAAAAGAGGTCGGTGCGTGCCGTAAAACCATTTACAATGTAATGAAACGGTACAATGAGAATGGCACAACATCTGACAGACCAATTCCAGGCAGAAAACGATCTGTACTAACTTCAAGTGTCACCGAGGCCGTAAAGAAGAGAATAGCCAGAAATCCAAGGAGGAGTTTGAGGGAGATGTCAAAAGAGATGCATATCTCAAAAACGTCTTTGAGGAGACTCGTGAAAGGGAGGCTAAGAATGAAGGCCTACAAGATGTCAAAGCGGCACACGATTTCAGAAAGTTCCAAGAAAAAGCGACTGAGCAGGGCAACAACAATGTTGGAAGAGATGAAGTCCGCCGGTCAAAAGGCCTTTATCTGGTCCGATGAGAAGATTTTCAACGTAGAGTCAGTATCCAACAACCAAAACGACCGGGTATACGCCAAGAGTACCGAGGACATACCTGCAACAAAAAAGTATCATTTTCGAAGACAGAAACCAGAAAGCATGATGGTTTGGGCTGCTGTTGGCTCTGACGGCTCCAAATCTCCTCTGGTCTTCGTGGAACCTGGAGTCAAAGTCAACAGCGCCATCTACGTGCAGATGCTGGAGAGGGAAGTGCTCCCTTGGCTGAAGGAGAGGTACGGCGACCAGTATGTCTTCACTCAAGACGGTGCGCCGGCCCACACAGCGGCCAACACCCAGAGCTGGTGCCGGCAGAACATGAGCGCGTTCTGGTCCAAGGACTGTTGGCCTCCGTCCAGCCCAGACCTGAACCCCATGGACTTTTCCATCTGGTCTATCTTAGAGAGCCAGGCTTGCCACGTCCCCCACAGCAGCTTGGTCGACCTGCGACGCGACCTCCTCAGAGCGTGGAGGGGGATCAGCGAGGAGACCGTGCGGCGGACGTGCGCTGAAGTGCCCTCGCGTCTCAGACGTGTGATCAAGGCAAAAGGCGAACACATCTGAAATCGGCCAGACTAGCCTGTTCGGAGATAGTCTCGTGACTTGTGTGCAAGAAATAGCTTACCTATGTCAACTCGTTTGGAAATACAGTGCATTTTTCGATGGGTAAATCTTTATGGCGCACCCTGTAGTCTTATAAACGGCCGGGAATCACATGACCCTGATGGCTAATTCTAGGCTGAATTTACAGCGGAGCTATCGAGTAAAGTTTGGAACCTCCGGTAACTCCACTGAAGTTTTCGGAAGTGCAGTTCGATTCTCACAAGCAGAATGGAAGCAGGACAAATGACAATGAAAGGTGAGTTAGCGAAGAGAGAACTTCACGGAAAGCCAGCCAGCTATACCACGCAGTCGATAATTGACCGTAACGGTTCAAAACCTCCCTACACTTCCTTAGCATCAATCAAGAACATACCATCGCACTATGGTTGGAAACGGCCTCACGGATGGCCGTGGGCAATTTCGGAATATATGTATATTTGGGGTGTCATTCTGTTGGAAATTGATGAAATGTTTTGAATTGGGCAGAAAAAATTATTTAGTTGCGCATTTAGTTTCCATTATTGTACGTGGAATCGGGAGTTTCTGATAGTGGCTTTTTTGGTGCGCCGTCAAAGGTTTAAACAACCACGCTGGTGGTAGCATGTGGAGTACCTCCATGACGTTGTAAAACTGGATTATTATGTATCAAAATAATCCTTGTTATGTTGGCTATCGAGTGGAGTGACTCTTTTTCCCATGCGTGTTCAAAATCAGGAACGGCATTGCATTCTGTTTGCAGTGTCACCATAGCAATATTTGCAAAATTACGTTTATGTTTCATTGGACATACAAAAAGTTCTCCATCGACCTCCATTGAGCTTTTTGGCAGAATAAATCTCTGTTCAATTCTGCGTAAGGGGAACGTAAAAGCAGACTGCGCACTTGTGCGCAAAATCGTCCGTGAAGCTTCATCTCCCGAGGCGTACCTACCCGTCGCTTCGTTAGCACCAGGTCGGCTCGTCAGTTTTGCAATCGCTTATCCTTATAAATGATGGTAAGAAGCAGGGTTGCGGAGTCGTGGTGGCGCCAAATCCGACTCCGACTACGACTCCGACTCCTGACTCGTTGCCATGACTCCGGCCGACTCTGTCTCCGACTCCGGACCCCTGCCAGTGTTTCGGAGTCGTGATGGAGCTGTTCCGATTCGGACCGACTCCGACTTCCACTGCGGGCTCCTGACCGACCCCGACTCCGACTCCGACTCCTGGCTCGTTGCCACGACTCTGGGCGACTCTGACTCCGACTCCGACTCTGACTCCGACTCTGACTTCGACTCCGCACCCCTCGTAAGAAGTAACTGCTCGCCCCTGCACCTGGAGTATGGATATCGTGCAAACGTGTATGGATATCCTGGAGTATGGATATGGATATCCACCGACAGAGCAGACATACAGACATGCTGTAAACGCCATTACACTGCCAATACCATGGCAAATCAAATGGCTATCTATGGTTTTTGATCATCGTTCTACATTTTCCAAAATCTTGAACTGAATGTTGGCAATTTCTCGTGACTACTTCACGACCATGACGCATGCATTTCTGAAATTGATCTTTTTTCAACCAGCCACGTACTCTTATGATATAATGAATGTCACCATCGTGTTCTACGCCCAAAAGTACCCATAAAACATGTGTCATGCATGGGCTGCGAATAGGTACCAGTTTTAATTTTCGGGGTTATGTGCTTACCTGATTGACCTGACTTTGACCCTGGCCAGTGGCCTATGTTTGACTGACCCCTACATTGATCTGACACTCTTTTAGCACTTATATGAAGGGTTGTGACAGTTGTGACAGTTGTGACAGATTGTTTAGGACCAACTGATGACTGAATTTATTTAGGACCAACTGATGACGATATAATCGAAACGCGAAACGCGAGGCACCGATTGCGAGGTTCTAAAGTCCATGCTACTGAAAGCCCGATTTCAAGTATTTGACCTGACCTTGACCCGACCTGTGACCTCGAAAACCAGCTTTAAAGTATTCATGTGAATCGTCTCGTCGCGTTCTTCTTTCGTTTGCCGCGCCTCGTGCGTTTCGCTGCGCCTATTTGTTCGCGAGTTATCGGCTGGGGGCGTTGAACGCCCCCCCCCCGGCAAACGGCGGATGGGGAAATACCCCAGCAACTGCCGGGTTAATATGACGCATGTTTTGTCATTTGATCGTCATTTTATTTCTTACTTTTTTGCCCAATCTAAAAAAATCATAAATACTCTTTCTCCAAATTTTTGACCCTTTATGACCAATAGTAAGACACTGTGCGTCACTACGTTGATATTTCTCGCCCTAAAGCATAACAACAATATCCATTCAGTAATAGCAGTATTCAAAACATATTCAAAATGCCTCGCAATATCGATAACATAACGAAAGACATAGGCGACTTATAACATACTTGCAATGATGACGTCACACACGCGTGACGTGACGTGACCTCGTCATTTCTGAGTTACTGTATGATGCACGAAAGACACTGGTATACCTATGCAAAGTTTCATCGCAGTCGGTCTACGCATTAACAAGTTATGCGCAAAACATTTTTTCGCGTTGACCCCCGGCCATCCGTGAGGCCGTTTCCAACCATAGTGCATCGGCGGGACAATAACCTATCAAGTTTGATGTTTGCGGATTTTTTCCTCAATGCAGCCCGCTGCTCTAGCCGCAGTGGTTTACGTCCCACACCGAGGCTGTCACTGCCCGGCGCCCCGGTCCGTCGGTGACTCCTCATTACCTGGTCAGTGGTGTCAGTCACACGGGCCGCAGGGGGGGGGGGGAGGAGGGGGAGGGTGCCGCTCAGTGACCTGGGCCACAGAGCGCACAGAGACACGGCAATGCGGCCCCCAGAGACGCGAGGAGACACTGCCCTAGTTCCTCGCCTTCAATACTCGATAGTACGGACACGAGTCTGTGTCCGCTCGCACCGCCCGGACTTTCAGGATGCCGTTCAGTCACCCAGTGGTGAGCTGAGCCCGTCAGGTCGGCACGTCCACAGCGGATGTGGATGTGCCGATTAGAGAGCTACTCCCGCTGGGTAGCTCTCCAATCCTCTCCATCCCACCCTTCTCCCGCTGGGTAGCTCTAGGTACACCCTGTCCGTTCCAGATCGCCTCATTCATACTTCGCTGCAGTTCCTCACATTCAATCAGCAGCGGCGCAGCACCAGCCATGGGATTAGAGTGCAGCAGCGGGCTGCGCGGGACAGTGTCGACCTGCCGGGCAGCATGTAGCGACTGGCCGGGCTGCAGCGGGGCCGCGGGGAAGGAATGCGCCGCACCGCGCGCCGCTCCAGGAAACTCAACGCAAGCAGCGCGCGGCCGGCCAGCGGCGACCGTCGGGCCAGCGGCGACTGTCAGCTCAGCTGGGGCCGTCGGCCCAGGTATGACCGTCAGCCCAGCTCTGACCATCAGCCCAGGTATGACCGTCAGCCCGGGTATGGCCGTCAGCCGGCCGCGGAATGATCGGATTTACAACAATTTTGAGATACCTTTGTTTTGAAATGAGAGCAGTTTAAAAGAGCTCCCTTGACCTGTCTTTCCGTTCGTCTGTCATTGACATGATGGGATGGTTTTCGCTTAAACTTTTGCTCGTCATTCTGGACAGCATGGCACTATTCATTTCGGCGTTATAGGACCATTCGACATAACGTGAACAGCTGCAACTGTCTCCGTAGATC